CAAAAAAAAAAAAAAAAAAAGTAGAAATTGAAACTAAAATGTAGGCATGTAGTGGCTAATCCTTTTAGGGTTTTTAGTCCTTTATCCTGACCTGAAAGAAACAGTAATCTCTGCATTAATTATACCATTTGGCATAAAGATTCCAAGCAGGTAAGGCACTTGCAATATGTCCAAAGGCTGATAAATTAGAAATAGAAAAGATCTGTTAGATTGCCCACTTAACCCTGCTGCCAAGGAAGGACTCTGCTCCACATTGCATTTTATGGTACTTACTGAGAGGCCTTGGTAAATTAAGTGGATGATTACTTGGAATAGAACATATAATATTTTACAAGAGATCCTTTTTCAGAAGCCTAGAGGGAGGTAAGTACGACATTCATACATGTAAAGCAGAGCTCTCTATTAGGTCTTCTACTGGCCTGTTTCTTTTCTGAATGTGAACGGAAGAGCTTTTATACTGGAACTTTAATTGGGGTTTTATTAACCCATTTTACAGATTGATGAGTTACTGGCAGTTGCTGATTTTGGACCTGAAAAAGAAAATTTGTCTCAGAATGATTTCAGGTGAGGTTTTTTGTGATTTTTATCAAAATTGTGCAACAAGTGTCAGTTATCTTCAGCTATCTATATCTAGTTTGAAATAGAAAGAATACTGTTAAAGATACCAGAAATAATGGTGTTGTGACTGTCTGAAATTTGTATGCATTTATAATCCTATCATGGTATCTGAACTGTAACACTTAAAAATTTAGTATAGTGGAGTTGTATAAAAAGGCATAATTAGTGCAGTTTAAAGATTTTCTTACTGGGCAGATAGTCTTTAAAAAAACTCAGCTTCTATTGTATATAAAGCTAGACAAATTAAATAGACATTTAAAACTAAACACCAGCTATATTATGGGATAGTATTTTATTTCATTTTATTTTATTTTACATGGGATTTGACACAAAAAACTTCCACTTTCAAAATACGGTTAATATTTATAAGCCTTCCCTCACTCACGTTGCACCTTGGATAAAGATGAACAAAATATTAAAAATCTAACTTATTTTCCATTCTTCATACATTACATTTAGTCTTGTATTTTACTTAGTGTGGACATTTATTTTGCTTGTTGGTTCTCCTGCTCATGCACAAAGGTACCGTTTGTAGGTTGAAGAGTCTCATGCAGTTCATTCTTTCTGGATTAATTGCTCCTAATTTGAAACACTGAATCGCGGAAGTCAGCTCTGCTCTGTTGGTGATCTCAGCATTTATCTGCTTCAGCATTTTCTTCAGCAAGCAGCATATATGAGCAGTAGGATAGGGACAGAAAAAAATGCTTTTGATCCAGAGTAGAGGATACTTTTGTTTTGGTAGTCTGTTGGCTTTGAATTTCATGGATAGCTCTATAGAAGCACATCGGATATTAGTCATGGCATAGGGACTTCTGTACTTAGTAAATTAATATGTTAAAGGACCTGGCACTCCTGAGCCCACTGGTCTATCATAGGAATTTATACCATGCTAACTTCCATAATATGAGACCCTAAATAGTTCAAAAATATGCAAGGCAAGTGTAACAGATCTTCATGGTAGACTCTGGAAACATACACAAGTATTGCTGAGACTTATCCATAGGGAAATTACCAGTATAGCAGAAGAACTCCATAGTGCCATTTTGATTCCAGAATAAATGTCCATATAGGGAGTTATTTTGTCTAACTAGTACAGTTCTGGTAATTTTTTCCTATATATAAACAAGCTTCATGGGCATGTCCAGACGAGCACAGTTGTGCAGTACATGGCACCGCAAACACATTTGCAGCGCCACATACCACACAGTCTGGTGTTCTCCGTGCTGCAAGGGCTCACTGCGCAAGCATGAGTTGCACTGTTTTTTTTCCCCATGGGATATCCAGGGGTGGAAAAAAAAAAAAAATCCAAAAAAAAAACCTGGCACAGTACACACTTGGGTAGCATGTGCTGCTGAAAAGTGGAGCTGGGCCACCTGAAGCCATGCTTTGCTGCCAGCCAGGCTCTGCACTGCAGAATCGCCATGACTGCGGCCCCAGGAGGCCCCCAGGACCCCAGGTAATGTTGTTGGGGCCAGGCACTGTCTCTCCTACCCCACCCAAGGCAACTTACTCTGTGCCAAAGTGCGCATGGCACAGGCAGTCCCCAGGGACAAGTAGTTGTGGCTCAAGGTGCGCCACTGCTAGTTGTCCCTGGGGAACCAAATGTCTGCGCACATGTAGACAGACATGTGAGTTTTAGAATGATGCTCTGAAGGTGATCAAGTCAGGAATCATTCGTATTTTGTGAGGAATTTTGATGAATTCCCTATTAAAATGGTGGTGAGATGCAGGATGGATACACTTGAGCCCAACTAAACACCTGACTGCTTGCTGCAGTGTCGTGGTAAAGCAACCTGATGAATTGTTTTGCCTTAAAAGATTCATGGTCCAGTTCACTAGGTGCAAATTAGATGCATCTTTTGGGGGAATGCCATGGCCACGGTAAAGGTTTTCCCTGCAGAATACACACCAGTTTTCAGTTTGGGCCCATGTACTTTAAGCTTTCTGAGTCTGTAGCTCCAATACAGTCTCTTTCCTTGATCTGTTTGTGATGGTCACTCTGGGAACAAGCTGTCTCTTTCCTATTTATAGAAGTGCGGTCTCGGAACTGCTGTAGCAGGTCCCCAAATCCAGTACTAATGCCGTCAGACATTATTGTTATATAAAAACATCTTTTTCCAGAGATACACTTTGTGAGTACTCTAGTTTATAGTTCACCTTCTCAGAAAGAGGTAGCAGTGGAAATTAGTGAACCAGGCTTTGGAGGAAGGGTTCCAAAATGAATCATTTTGCCGAGCAGAATACCCAGATATAAATAAACACCTATGAGCATTTCCATTCCTTTGTTTTCTCTCTCCTCTTGAATATTCGTTGATCCTAGCTCAGAATCATTTAAGGTAAGGCTGTTAAATGTGTGGCCCATGGGCTGGATCAGACACATGGAACTGCTCCATCTGGCCTGCCAGGCTACTGGTGGGCTGTGGGTGTTGGGGGCATGGCTGGGTGGAGTGGCCTGCTGCAAAATTTGTGGCCTCTGATCCCTGGTAAACATGGCTTTCAGTGGCAGAAGGGTGAGCAAACGCTGCGCTGACACAATCCTGCGTGGGGGGCAGCCATTTGTCCTATCACTGCCAGCCCTACTTCAGGCCTCTCCTCCTCCTGCTTCCTCCCACCTCCCATTGCTCACGTATTGATAGTTTTAACAGTAGACCTATTTGTGGCTGGACATAGATCCATAGATTGTAGAGTTGGAAGGGACCACAAAGGATCATTGTGTTCGACCCCTTGCCCTGGCAGGAAGGAGGACCGAGATCAGATGACCCCAGCCAGGTGACTATCAAGCCTCCTCTTGAAGACCTCCAAATTACGTGATAGCACCACCTCTCCTGGAAGCCCATTTGTATTCTGGCGACCCTGACTGTAAAAAATTTCTTCCTAATGTCTAACTTAAATCTACTCTCCACTAGTTTGCACCCATTATTTCTAGTTACTCTCTGGGGCGCTCTGGTAAATAGCACATCACCAATTCCCTGTTGTCCTCCCTTGATAAACTTATAGGCGGCTACAAGATCTCCCCTCAGCCATCTCTTGTGAAGGCTGAAGAGATCCAGATCTCTCAACCTCCCCTCATAGGGTCTTTCATGGAGGCCACTAATTATGCAAGTGGCCCTCCTCTGATCCCTCTCCAGATTCGCCTTGTCCCTCTTGAAGTGCGGTGCCCAAAACTGGACACAGTACTCCAACTGCGGCCTGATCAATGCCGCGTAGAGGGGGAGCATCACCTCCCTTGATCTGTTGGTCATGCATCTGCTAATACACGACAAGGTGCGATTGGCTTTGTTAATTCCCTCATTACACTGCCGGCTCATGTTCATCTTGGAGTGAACTATGACACCAAGATCTCTCTCAGCCTCTGAGCTGCTGAGGAGGTCTTCCCCCAACCTATAGGTGTGCTGGGGATTCCTCCTTTCTAGGTGGAGTACCTTACACTTATCTTTGTTGAATTACATTCTATTTGATGCCATTTCCTCATCTCCTTAACACGGGGAACAGGAATGAGAACACAGTAAAGCAAGATAATAAGCATATATAGGTAGTTCATAAAATCCAACTGAAACTTAACCAATTGCACGTAAACCGATTCCTTAGCTTCTTCTAGGGGAATACTTGAACATGCATTTAAATTCTCTTTTCCTTTCCACAGTGAATCAGAGACTTCAGTGACTACATTGTCCTCTGATATGTCAGCTTCATCTCTCCAGTCAAATCTTTTTGGTGTTGATCATGAAGTCCTGAATAAACAAATAATGGAATACAAAAAAATGAAAAAAGTGAAAAATGTAGATGGCATTGGGTGGGCAGAACAGCAGCGGAAGCAGTTGGCTGAAGTGCAAAAACATATGAGAATGAAAAAGAAGAAGACAATGGATTCTTTTCAGAATTATGTTCCACCTCAGGAATACTTATTGAACAACTACAACACAGCATATTTGGATGATGAAACTGTATCCTTCTCAGAGAATGAATTGGAAGATGAATTATGCGATGAGGTAAATGAATTTAAGGCAGATGATGACATAAACCAAAACCCATCCACTACAAAACTGAAGTGAAATTGTAAGCTGTACATTTCTCAATAAAAATAGCAGATAAAAAACTTGGTTAGAATATATGCTGAAGCATTAGCTGTGTAACTCCACTTGATTTTCCTCTTCCACCCTCAAAAGGTATGGTATGATATGGAAAAACTAATGAATACAAATTGTCACAGTAAAAGAAGTTTTGAAATGCTGTTTTTAATAAATATGTCATAAGTTGAACTTTTTTGAACTAAGAATTTAAGGTTTTAGAAATGTTATGGTTGTGCTGAGGGTTGCAGGCAGAGTTCCTTATCCTGTTATTGGAGAATAGACAAAGCAACTTTATTGTGAGCTAAAACATATTGGCTGCCTCCTAGGAAGTTAATTTCCTTTGCCTTGATATAAGTGCAATGATCTGTCAAAGAGAAGGATTTCAGAGGACATGATTATGTTACTTTAGAACCCTAGCAAGCTATTAATCTGCAAATTTGGAATCTACTTCTTGAAGATTTAAGTATATCTTGGTGTTGTGCTCTTACATTACTAAGACTTCTTTAAACTGTACAAGTATATACACATTTTGAACTATTTCATTTGAATTGTAAACATTAAGAAATTCATGAAGGTAAGACTTGGTTTCCATGAAGCTTGGTAAGACGTAGGCTTTTTAAGCCTCTTTTTGGAGGAGAGTATAAGTAAACGAGGCACAGAATGAATGGATGCAGTCTTTTTTTTCCTTTCCTCCTGTTCTACATTTATTTAGTACCTGTGTAGTTCTTGTTTTTTTATTATGAACAGAGTTGGACACTAAACAGATTGCAGTTTGCAGAATTCCTGAAAGCAGCTGATATTTTAATCTTCAAGTAGCCAATAGTTTCCCTAGTAACTGTTCCTCCCTATGGCCTTAGGAAAAACAAAACAAAAAAGGAAGGAGGCGCAGGGGAAGTGTGCCTTTATGCAGTGGCTAACATGGGTTCCTTGGTCCAGATAAACTTGAAGTCTTCCAAGGATTTACCTTAACCACCTAATATATTAAAACCTGGAGCTTTTCTTGACTATTAAGCTTTTAAGACACAAGACGAACTTTCGTTTCTAGTGCAGCCATGGCCTCTATGTCTAATTCTTCTCCAAACACATTAAAATCATTTAAGATATGTGATGGCTTAACTGTCATTTAGCCTTTTCATTAGGGGAAAAATTGTGTTGTAACTTTACTGTTCCAGCTGTCTTTGTATTTGTATGCCGCCCTCCCCCAAAAAGGACTTTGAGGAAAAATCCTAGCATATACTAGGTTCAATCACTACGAGCCTTGCAGAGGCCAAAAGACTAGCGTCTTTCCAGTGGTTTTGTATCGTTCTCCCTCTCTCTGTCCATTTTGCACCACAAGGGGAAACCAGTCCTGAATGGTAAATAACGGTTTGCTTATTTATCATCAGCTTACTGACAGCAAATGATTCTCCTCAATTAACTTGATACCCACTTGGATACATTTGCAGAACCAGCCATCTCCTTTCCCTCTCTAATATAGATTGTATAAGTTTACTTATTTTACCTCTTCTTCCTGCAACACAGTTTTGATGCATTAGCAATCAGGTATGAACAAGTAAGGAAGGTCCAGTTACATATTAGACATGACTTGGGGTGTATCTATCTGTTCATATATTCTGTGGTAGGTAAGTTTAAACTCTTTCCTAACTATAGCCACCAGTAAATTACTCTTCTTGCGTTCTTTATAGTTTCATAGTTTCTAGGGTCAGAAGGGACCTTAGTAGATCATCTAGTTCTACCCCCTGCCATGGCAGGAAAGAGTACTGGGGTCAAACGACCCCAGCAAGGTGTACATCTAACCTCCTCTTAAAGACCCCCAGGGTAGGAGCCAGCACCACTTCTCTTGGAAGTTGGTTCCAGATCCTAGCCGCCCTGACAGTGAAGTAGCACCTCCTGATGTCTAGTCTGAATCTACCCTCTGCCAGCTTGTGACCGTTATTCCTGGTCACTCCTGGCAG